CGGGCTGCCCCGCCAGCACTAGGCCCCGCGCTCCGCCCCGGCCGCCCTCCTCACCGTTCTGCTGGTGAGGCCCCGGGCCCGGGCCCGCGGGCGCGGCGGCTCCTGAGGCGGCGGCTCCGCCAAGCTTGGGCGGGATCCGGGAGCTGGCTGCCGGATGAGGTGACCCGGCTGAGGCCGACATGACGGCACTGCGGGCGGCGGCCGCGGCTCCGCTTCGGGTAGTTGGGCGGAGGGAAGGGAAGGCGGAGCCGGAGCGGCGAGAGGAAGAGGCAGGAACGCGCCTGGCGTCACCGACGGAGTCACCCGGGACCGTGGCTGGAGTGCTCGCGCTCCGCCCCGGAGCCTAGCTCGGCCGCTGCGGGCGCCGGAACCCCGCCCGGCCCTCCCCGCGGGTCGCTCTCGGCAGGCGCTCACTGTGCGAGCCGCAGCGCCCCCTGCAGGCGGAGCCCGGCGCGCCCAGGCCGGAGGCGGGGCCCGGGGAGGCAGCCTCCCCGCCAGCCCTGCGACCTCGGGCCCGGGCGGACCTGCAGTCGCCTCGGGGCGAAGGGGGTGGACCAGGATAGAAGGCGCTGGGCCCGCTCCCACGTGAGGCGGAGGCAGGAGTGCGGCGGGCCTGGGCCGGGCGGTGCGGTGCGGGGACGGGGTTCCAGAGCTGCGGGGTGACCTCCGGAGACCCAAGGCAGCGCCTGGCCGGACTGACCCCGCTCACCCTTCCTCCGAAGAGGAACCCTGGGTTTGGCTGTTTTTTTTTTTTTTTTTTTTTTGGGGTGTTTTCCCCCTTAATATTAAATCCTAAAGGAAATAGGCATTCAAGCTCCCTGTCCGTAGGGAATTATAATCCTGGGCAAAAGAAGAGGAAATATTTCTCTGATAAACACAGTATCTCAATAAGAATTGAGAACTTTTCCCACTGACTTAAATCCTGGGAAAGGAAAGGGCAAAATGGAGTAAAGGGAAGCTAAAAGGCAAACTTTATCGTCCTTATGATATTTGCCAAGGGTTGGCTCATCCTGTTGATGTTCAGAAGAGAAGCTGTAACACCCAAAGCAAGAACTCAGCGTGGTTTGTCTACGCTAGTGAAATCGTTGAATCTCTGGCCTGTCCCAGCATGTTAACTGGTAAGCAAGCCCTGGGACTGCATTACCCAAGTCGTTTTGCCATCTTGGAATCCTGAGTATGCCACAGTCATTCTGTGTTTGTTAGAAATGAAATTGTTCAAAAGCGTCGAATTCCGAATGGGATGTTGCAAGGTTGTATTTCTGGAGCGATGTCTAATTAGTGAATGATTATGCCAAACATAAAGTGTGTTGTAGTCCTAGAATAATGTGAAGCTTCCCTTTAGTTGCTGCCGTGAATTAATGATACTTGGTGCTTTAATGCACCAAATGAATTACAAATAGGATTTCAGTAGTTGGATTTGTACTTTTGTTTTTGGAATTTATCTTTGTTCTTATTTCCATAATTCTGATTAATTTTTCCTTTCCATTTTATACACTACACTAATAAGCAACCCAAACAATACTTTTACATTACGATATCCAGAAGCTAAAATATACTAGTTCCTGCATGTGAAAGATGCATTAAGCCAATTCTTAGGTTTAAAAGCCAATAATTTTGTTAAATGTAAATTTTCAGAATCTTTAGAGAAAATTACACTGTACAGATATTATAACACAATCCTGTCCTAGAAAGCAATATCCCATTAATAAAACTACTTGAATTTTTTAACATTTTAGGTAGATAATTTCAAAGAAATACAAAGTAAGAGAAAGTAGTATAATGGACCATCATATACTCATCAGCCAGCGTCAACATTTGTCAGTTCAGGGCTAATCTTGCTTATCTATACTGGCACCAACCTCCACTCTCCCGAGATTAAGGTTTTTTTTTTTTTTTGGCTGGGCTGCGCAGCGGATCAGTTCCACTGCGCTGCGCAGCATGTGAGATCTTAATTCCCCGACCAGGGATCAGTTCCACTGCCCCCTGCAGTGGAAGTGTGGAGTCTTAACCACTGGACAGCCAGGGAAGTGCCTTCTGAGATTATTTTGAAATGAATTTCAGACATATCATTTTATCAGTAGGTATTCAACATGTATCTCTAAATGTATAACATAAACACAATACCATTATTATACCTAAAATCATTAAAAATAATTCATTAGTATCATCAAATATACAGTCCACAATTGTTTTTTGTAATAGTTTGTACTTTCTGAGTTTTAGGATTTTCAACAATATATCATCCATCTACACAAAATGGGCAAGCACTTTTCTACAGCATTTTCAGCTTTTCCGCAAAAACCTAAGCCCCCGCATAAGCAAAAGACCACACTCTGCTTCATCGAGAAGATTACACGATTACAGGTTCCAATGCTGCCTGAAAGTCCTTTGAAAAATGGCTCAGAGAAAAGCCCTGTATTAAGGGCTGCTATTATAAGGGTAAGGGAATAACGAGCCAATTGGCTTTCTGTCCTTGGAATGTATCCTCTTGGGCAGGGGTCCCCAACCCCCGGGCCATGGACTGGTACCTGACGCTCCCCATCACTCGCATTACCGCCTGAACCATCCCCCTGACCCCCTGCCTCATCCGTGGAAAAATTGTTTTCCACGATACTGGTCCCTGGTGCCAAAAAGGTTGGGGACCGCTGCTTTGGGGTATAAGAAGCCCATTTTAATCACAGGTATATGGACTGAAGTTGAGCCCCGTCTCTTTAGGGGAGACTCCTAAAGAAGGAGGACGGGGACTCTGTGTTTTAACCCATCTTCCCCACAGTCTTTTATCACCTAAGCTCTTTCCACCTGTCCGCTAATTCCCCGGGGTATTTTCTAGCATGCTTGTAAGAATCTTTTGCATGACAGATCCTACAACCTTTATGAAGATATGTTATTTCACTCTACTGCTTTAAGTCCCACGACTGCTATCAGTGAAGAAAATGAGGAAAAGGATGCAGGATTGAATGAATGCTTACCATGTACCAGGCACTGTGCTAGTCACTTTAGATGTATTCCCCCCCGCATTTAGTCCTCACAATAACTCTATTGGATATTTTTCTTATCCTCATTTTACCAGAGGAAACTAAGGCTTATGTAGAGTTCAAGTAATCTTAGTAAAAATCATGAACTTGTAAATGGCAGAACCAGAGCTCAAACCAAAGTCTGTTTAGCTCCAAAGTCTTTGCTCTATTCACTACGTACTATACTTGATTAATTTACATTTTTCTTCATAAAGCTATGCTAATTATTATGTACTATTTTGCTTGTTAAAGGATTTTCAGTTTTACATATTTAGAATTTGTTCCAGTGACATTTAGAATGGCAAATCTCAAAGTGTTTGAAATGCAAGTTCTCAGGTCCCACCACAGACCTACTGAACTCTGGAGATGTGACCCAATAGCAAGCTTTCCTGGTGTTTCTGATGCACGAGAAAATTTGAGGACCACTGCTTTGAATCGCAAAGTTAAGCTGAATTGGTTCATTCTTTTCAACATCAGGAAACGATGGTCCTTTTCTTCAGGACATTTCTCCAATCTTTTGCCAGTCATTAAAAGTGATACTTTGTTCCAGGAGTGCCAAATATGGTAGCGTCAATCTTAATTGTTTTGATGGGCAATGTGAAGGTAAATGCTGTTGCCCAGTTTGTGTTCAATGGGAAAAAGTGCTATAATTGAAAGTAAGCCCTGCCACAGGTGCAGGAGGGACATTTTTGCTGAATGTCAAATTCTGACACACGTGCCACTATTTGTTACCCCAAATTTAGGATTCACATTCTCTGTAACAGAAGTTGTGGGAGCCTTGGACAACTGAACACCTATTTTTATCTCAAAAAATGCTAATCCAGTTCCTTCTCTGTTGTACCTGGCTTCCCATCTTCCTCAGCAGTTTTTTTTTCCCCTCTAGTTTTTAAATCACATGTGACCTTTGTAGAATACCTTTCCTCTTTCAGTGGCATTCCCTATTAGATGTCCCTCTCCCAATATGAAGACATGATTTTCTTCTTTCCTCTCCTTTTTCTGATCTCTTTACACATTTATTGCATTTTTAGTAGGCCAAGTATTGGGGATACAAAGATTAATAGGATATAATCTGTCCCTGAAGATCCTGTGCAGGATCCGTTACATATAATCCTACTTTCTTATATTTATTTCTTGATTTTTTTTCTACAAACTTGTATTATTTTTTTCTCACATTCCTTGTGAATCTTTGTTTCTCCTTTTCATTAAGGCCAGCTGTCCCCAACCTTTTTGGCACCAGAGACCAGTTTTGTGGAAGATAGTTTTTCCACAGACAGGGTGGGGGCAATGGGGGATGGTTCAGGCGGTAATGCAAGCGATGGGGAGGGACGGGGAGGGACAGGGAGTGGCAGATGAAGCTTCACTTGCTCACCCGCTGCTCACCGCCTGCTCTGCGGCCCGGTTCCCAGCAGGCGGTGGACCGGTACTGGTCTGTGGCCCGGGAGTTGGGGACCCCTGATTAGGGCATTCTAAGTTGAGTTCCAGGACATATTATGATGGGAAGAAATAAATTCACTTATGTTCATATCTTTTGATTACTTATGTTGATGTAATTTAACTATCATTTAAGTCTCAACTGTCAGACAAACTAAGACAAACTAAGATCCTAAAAGAAAAAAAGAAAGGTGGGAGTTTTAGGCAAATAATTACCACATAGTCAGCCTACGTGCAAAAGTGCACTTACAGAAAATTCTCTCAAGTTCTCACTTAGAATATTTGGCTATTATTTTAGCTATACCGTAATTTCTGTAGTTATCCACTTATCCAGCCCCCAGCAGGTTAGAAACAATGAATCACGAGGCAGGAGAAGGAAACACTGTTGATATAGGCACAGTGAGAGCAGCAATCACCATCACAATATTGAAAAAATGGAAGAACTTAATGCACAGCAGTCTGGGGCAATTAGTTAAATTGAACAACCCTGTATATTACACTGAGAATATGATAAACATAGCCCACAAGTCTCTACCATCTGAGAATTTCTAACCTGGTATTCTGAAGGGCATTGACAGTAGGGATATACAACCCATTTTTAGAACCTTATAAACTCTTTTACATATGAACAGGTTAGGTTCCCAAAGCTCCTTGTTCATAAGTTCCAATATTCACAAATCCAGGGTAAACTCTCCTAGGCCACAAATGTATTTCCACCAAACAGAAAAGTGAGCTCCGCCCCCCCCACC